TTCTAGATTCTCTCATATTTACTAAATTCCATGCTTGGCATAAAAACTTCCTTAATGATTTTGTTATTTTTGGACTTAATTGGTGTTTGAATGTTGGCTTTCTTCTCTCCTTTTGGATATACATTATATGCTAACATTTATGTTACCTTGATCTAGGGGTGTAAGTGAGCCAAATCGGCTCACGAGCCAACTCGAGCTCGACTCATTTATGGGCTCACAAGTTGAGTTCGAGCTTGATGAGGCTCGGCTAGAGAGCTTGCGAGTCGGCTTGAATAATTTTTAAGATTTTTTTTTAAAAATAAAGTAATTACTATTTTATTAAATTTAAATTAAAAGAAAGTTGTAGTTAGTTTAAAAGAAAAAAATGTTAAAGATGTAGTGCAATATATATATATATATTAATGTTGCAGCTATACTATAAAGAATAATATACTCTATAATATAGCTGCTATAGTGTTGTAGTTAGTTTAACAAAAAAATACGAAGTTAAAGCTGTAGCTAAAAAAAATGCAAGACACCTATTTTATCCAATAGAAAAAAGCAATGGTCGCCTGCCGCGTGCAATCGATTTAAAATCGGGCATAAAAACACTGAATGGCGGGCATAAACCGAAATCGAGCCCTCGTTGAGCTTGTTTCTGTGTCGCGAGTCGAGCTCTAGCACGACTTTTGAGCTCTACTCCAGTTCGAGTGTCACAACCCGGCCCATATGCTCGACTTAACGAGGTGGGAACTAAAAATCAGATGGTAGAATTAATTCAGTACAATTCATAAGCAATACAACATACAACTTTCTCATTTCAACTTAAGAGCCACTATATACACAGTCCAAAATCCATTCATTTCACCTTTTGGAAAAAGAAAAACTTAAAGTTTACATTCGTAGATTTTACCTGTTTTCATTATTATGTCATCTTCTATAAACAAATTCTTCCCTTTCGGCCTTTTTTAATTCTGGAGATTTACCTGAAACATTAATTTGGTGGGTTGATTTTACTAAGTAAACTCCCTGGGCAATTTTTTTACTTGTAAACAATTTAACATGGATTAGTATAATACATATAATCGTTGATATAGGTCTACTCATTTAACATTTAATATACATTTTCTTTATTTGTTTCATTTTATTTTATTCATTCATTTATACATATCATATCATATTATTGTATAACATTTATAACACTTTAATACATATTCCTTTTCCATTTTAACATGTATTCCTTTTTTCAATTTCATTAGTACAGGAGCACCGTCTAAATGTATCAAAGGTACAACGATTTTCATTTTCTTTTCTATTTCCATTTCGATTTAACGTGCACGGGTACATTGCTTCCCCAGCCAGTACCATACGAAGGTGAACTCCTATCTTTCATTATCTTTTACATTTTCCATTTTTCATTTAATCATTATTTATACATTTGCATACATTGCATATGCATATCTATAAATATTACCTTTCACTTTATTGAAACTTTCAAACATTTATAACTGATGCAATTAATCAGAGGACTATAATCATTAAATATTTATACCTTCAACATTTATAATTTATGCAAATAATCAAATATTTAGAAGACTGTATGCATAAAATATAATCATGAAATAACATCATTTACCCACTTTAGTTTCCCCTTTCAATCTTCGTCCTGTATTGAGGATATTTAACTGTTCACAATAACATAATAATTTAAGTAATATTAAATCTCAATTTGAACGATTCAACAAACATTTGATTTCTTCCATATAAAATTACCTCACAGTAGTTTTTCTTTCTTGTTGAATTCTTGAAGAACCCATGATGCAGGACTAAGTATTATTTAAATCAATGCGATAAGAACTTGCACGTTTTTGAATAAGAGCAATTAATAATTATGAACGTTAGCCACTAAACGACAATAGAAAATAAAAGAGGGGAGGCTTCACTTAGGCCAAATCACATGCTAAGAGCGAGAATCACCAAAGTAATTAGAATTTTCAACAGATGCAAATTAAGTAGATGTTCAATAGAATCCCTAGGTTAACAATGAGATTAGAAATCATAGAAAATCAAAACTCAAATCCTACGTTTACTAAGCGAATGCAGAGAGCTTTGGCATGACTCCTTGTGATTGAATCATAACCTACTACAGCAGAGGATTAGAAGAGAATTTGAATAGGGGAAAAAGTTCACCCTCACCCTCATCGTGAAACGGAAGTGATTTGTCACTGAACGTTGGCAAGTTGCTCTTCGATTGCTTCAAACAAGGTGAAGATGATACGATCCAGGTATTCTTCAGCTGAATTGTCTATTTCCGAGTTGACGTCGAGGAATGTTGACCGGAGGATGTTGATGTTTCCTTGCTCGTTGTAGACGAAGTCGGAGGAAAAATCGGGATCAGCCATTCATCGATTCCGTAAGGGTGAAGTGTTGGCGATGAAGATCTTTGCTTCCATTAAGGATTCCTCTTGAGAGAAAGAAGTTCCTCTCAAGGATTCAAGTGGAGAAGAGGGAGAGAGGTGGCCGGCCAAAGATGGGGGCTTAGGGAGGAAATAGGTTCAGATTTTGGGAGGTAGGATGGAGGAAAATTAGGGAATTTGTTTCCCCTAATTGATTCTTAAACTTGGAAAGAATTAAACGTGGAAAGGGGTGAGAGGGAGGGGCGGGTAGGTGAGAGGGAGGGGTTTTGAAATCTTCCCAAAGAGAGGAGTCAACAATTTGGAAAGAAATCAAGGGGAATTAAAAGGGGGAGGGGGGGGGGGGCATAGAAAAAGGGATAGAGAAAGAGGGGGTCGGAGGTTTCAATAGGGAAGAGGGATTTAGGGAGAGGCATTTAAGGGTTGCTTGTTTTGGACTTGGATATTTGTAAAGGTGTAATTAAATTCAACTGAATTTAAATTCAAATAGGATTTAATTTTAGAAACTTTTCAAAAATAGAATTTCGTAATTTAGGAAATAAATCAAATTCAAATTAAATTTGAATATGAATTAAATAGGCTTCCTATCTTAGAAAAACCAAATTGGAAAGGATTGAATACAAGCCTTGATGTGGGAATTCCCAAGGGGGGCCGACGGCTTAGATGGGTTGGCCGCCGGTTTTGGGTCAGGGGAGATGGGGGTCGGGTGGGGTAGGGAGCTAGGGGTGCTAACCAAAGCCAAGGGGGCGGTGGGCTTGTGGTTGGCCGGAGGTGGGAGGTTTAAAGGGGTGGCTGGCGGCTTAAGGTTGTAGGTGGACCGAGAGATGGAAGGGAAGGGAGGGAAAAGAGAAAGAAAATTATGAAGAAACTAGCTACGAACCCGAACTCTTTCAAGGTTGGTGGGTGATCCGCTTCCCTCTCCAAGGGATTTCTTTCCAAACCCTTTCAAGCTCTCACAAGAACTCAATATGCAGAAAATTTTATAATTCATTCATTAACCTTCAAAAGAAAACATAAGGGCTATATAGTCTCATACAGTAGACGGGAAAATAAAAAGATGACTTAGCCCTTTGGGCTTACACATGACAAACCCTTAATTAAGGGGTACAAGGGGAAATACAACTAAAACAATTACAAAAAGCAAATAAATAAAACAAGTACATATGAGGACTTAAAAATAGATCGACACGATCTTGGCCGTAGAACGGCGACCACGCCTCTGATAAACTTTCCATGCTCTGATGTCCCCATTAACCCAACTCCTTCAACTTGATTTCTTTCCCTTCTAAAATTTCTAATATTAAATAATATAAATTTTCATGAAATGGAATTTAATAACAAATTTAATAAAAATTTATTATAGAAATTTTACTTACAAAAAGGGGATTTTTCAAATCCCAAAATCTTTCTCTTTCTCTTTCAAAATCTCTTCTCTTTGCTTCCAAATCGCTTTCTCTTCCTTTAATAAAACATCATTTACTTTAGGTAAAGCAAAACAAAAGAATTCATATGAAAATGGAAGGAAGAAATTCAATAACATGCTTCCCTTTTTCTCCTCGGTCATTTCTCTCGTTCGTTGAAATTTCTTCCAAATTTATCACTTATTTAGTGATAGGATTGAAAAGGAATTATTAATTCTTATCCTTGAAGACAGTCGTTTGCTAAAATTGAAAAATTAAAACTCACCGCATGCTTTCGAATGAAGCCGACCGCCCCTTATATTTCGCGAATGCCCTTGTTTGCCCTCTTGTTCGTGGTTATAAAAGGGTGACCGAATTGAACCAGCTGGATGAACCAATTTTTACGTCGAGCTCGGTATTTGACTTGCGAGTCGAGCTCGGACACCCCCTGACTCGAGCTCTACTTGACTCGTTTACACCCCTACCTTGATCTAATGCTTTTCAATATTAAAGCTTATCCTTGTAACTCCATTTTTATATATTGGGATTCATGAAGTGTTTTTTAATATTATTAATTAATGATAATTGATTTCTGATTATTGGTGTGATCAGTTGAATGCTTATAAGATCTAGGTTGTGTGCGTGGATTGCTCCATATTGTGTAAGTGCATTTATTTCACTTCCCCTCTTTAACATTGAAGCAACTCTCATGTTTCTCTATTGAAGTCCTTCTCAAGATTAACGAAAATCATTGGAAGATATGTAAAGTGATCTATATGTGTTCAGTGTTCTATACATATTAGTTTAGAAGACCATGTAGGTCAGCTGAGTGTTAGCTCAATGAGTTAGGAATTCAGCTTAAAAGTCTTTATTGGATTTATATTCAGATGAAATCAGGCTTGTTCAAATTGTTCAAATACTTGATGTACTTGTTATTATATACTTGATTGTTCAAATACTTGATGTACTTAATATTATATACTTGTTTGTGTAAATTCATTCTTGAATTTTTGTGTTGTAGTTTAAACTTTTTTTGTCATTTAATTAGGATAATACATGACATAAGTATTCTTGCTCCATTGTCATTATTCCTCTTGCACTTGCATGTGAATGCACAAGTGCACACATTCTGTTTTTCATATAACTTTTTTTGTTTTCTTTTCTCATTTATTGATATTAACTTTTAATGCTTTTTATTTTTTCATAGGTAGCCAAAAATCCTATTTTCAAAAGAGATGGTGCTGACATATATGTGGACGCCAATATTAGTTTCACACAGGTAAGCATTCAAACATTTTTCATTTGGAAAACCCTATTTGCTTTTTCAATTGTGGGGCCTTAAGTGTTATCATGTCATTGATTTCTTAATGAACTAGTTTAGCTGCAATTGCTCTACCTCATTTATGTTTTCTGCAAATGCAGATATTTTTATAGCTAAAAAAGGTAAAATAGATAATGTTAAAGAATAGGAATATTTTTTTAGAGAAGTTGGTCATATAAGTTCAAAGAAAGAAAAAGTCTACAATATAACTATAGTAGTTCAAAGTATTTTATATTGCCTTCTAGATTAGCCTTTATTTGAGGTCTATGCATAATTTGGACTTGATAGAAAATTTATTTTCTTTCCTTTAAGAAAAAGTAGAGGTGCTAAAAATCAGCTATGCAATTAATTATAATCAATCAACTCATATGAATTGGTGAGGTGGCATCTATGAATGTATTGATTAATGAGATAGCAAAATAGACTTAAGAAGAGAAGAGAGGAGCAGTGGGTTGGCTGGCACCATAGTGGACAATAGATGGGTTGGTTAGCTAGCTTGGATATTTTGGTGTGAAGAAGGTATGGATAGGGAGTAGATGGCTGGCAGAAGTTTGGCTTATTTTTATGGTAGAGAATAGGAATATCTTTAAGGGTGGTTTCCATAATGTCCCTTAAATGAATGAATGAATTTTTTTCCATTTCAATTTTCCTTTATAATTTTTTAAGGAATGCTCCCACTAATTATTTGATAAGAATGTTTACAAGTTGTCCACATGTGATAACGAATGGAGTACAACAAAATCACTAAAGTTGTTTATTTGTAAAGTATCTATCAGCTTCAATATGATTGGTAAGGTCATGTTCTACAGTTTGTGTACTTTTGATCCTTGACTTATTATTATACTAGGTTGTTATGTAATCTTTTCATTCAACCTTTAAGACATACAAAATAATTTTTAATCATAGAAATTTATATATTCTCAATGCCATAGAGCTGAATTCGGATTCCAAGTTATGAGTTTGTGATGCAGGACTACTTAGATGCAATATTATGAATTTCACTTAGACTTTGCACAACTCGTTGATTAGAATAAGTTCGGATTAAAATTACTAGAAATTATCCACGGCGAGTCAAACAATGAGGGAGTTAATCTTGTATAGGCTAGATCACATGCGCTAAGTTTGAACATTCAAGATAATCAAGAAAAATAAAGCAATGCAAAAATAGTAGTTTCAAGTTAATCCCTAGTCTAACAATGAGACGTAGGATGCATAGAAGATTACACTCAATTCCTACAAATGACTAGGTTTGGCAAGAGCAAGTGAAAGAGCTTTCGTGATTACGACCAACCAATTGAGAATTTAGAGTTAGAAGAAATTGGGTACAAGTGAGAAAAGAAACCTTTGCCAAAAGATGTGGAGATCCGTCACTCGATGCCTTCAACGTCTTCGTCCATGGCTTCCTTTGATGCAAAATAAGATACGTCGTTTGACTAGTCACAAAGTGACATAAGTTTCTCTTGGTAATGGGTTGAGGGTCTACTTCCAAGTGTTGATCTCAAAACCTGAAATTGAGTTCAGGTTTGACTCCAAAATTCTGAGAAAATTCTCAGATTTTTGAAGTAAGAGAAGGTATTTGGAAGAATGAAGCTCAAGACATTCAAAGATTTGGTCTAAAGGAGATGCAGGATTTGCTTGGTGAGAGAGAGAGGATCGGCAAAATAAAGGAAAAAGAAATAGGGTGGAGGCGGGCTGCTAAACGGTGGAGACGAATTTGGGATTTCCTAATTTAATTTCTTATGTTAGGAAACCCAATGAAATAAGTAGGTATGTGAGAAATTCGGCTAATTAATAGAGGGGAAATCTGAAGCTATTCCAAAGTAGAATACAAGCCAATTAGGAAATAATTCACTTGGAATAGGCACCTTTGTGCCTGGTGGTCAGGTGGCTGCCTTTCGCCCTTTTGTTATGCACCCTCAAGGTGTTCCACATTCTCCGTCATCCACAAATTCCATCATCTCTCAATCTTATTTGGGCAATGTTCTGCCAACATCTCCAGTGCCAGCCCAACAGTTATGGCTGAACCATCAGGTTATCACCCTTTCACGATGCAGTTTTATGGATTTGTTGGAGATGGCAATTTCTGTAATATGTAAAACAACCAACAGCAGAGTTCCTTTCCTGCGATCAATGGGTCAAATGAACAGGAAGATGATGCGAACTTGCGAGCTCCCGTCGTCGTCGCAACTTCGGATCGGACAGGCAAAGGGTCGTCGCGTCGAAGGAGCGAAGTCTAACAAGAAAGAAGGAGCCGAAGAAGCCACTCGTGCAATCTTACACCTCCTTCGAAGCAATGAAGCCGAAGTTCGCTGCCGAACAGCAACGACGCGTCGTCGAGCATATTTAAAACCCGCTCAAAATGAGCGTGTTTCTAATTCACGCAAAACAAGTCCTATAATACACCCCTAATACTTTTGAGGATTTTCTTTTCTTCTGTTCAAAATTAACCAAACAATCAAATTTAATAAATACATGTATTTGTTTTACTTTACACTCCTAATTCAGGCAACCAAACAGCCCCTTAATGAAAATTTAATTTAGGAAATCAATAATGAACTTTCCTAAAATAGAATTAGTATATTAGGCAATATTTTGAATTTCAAATATTTTGAATTCAAATTCAAATATATTCCATAACATAACAAATCCACAATAGGAAACAAATCAAAGAGAGAAAGAGGAGAGGTGATCGGCGGCAAGGGCTTAAGGCCGGCGGTCAAGGGTTATGGCCGGCGGTCAAGGGTTATGGCCGGCGGCAAGGAGGAATTTCGGGCAATGCGCGGTCGTGGAAATTTTGGGAGGGATGGTTGGGTGAGATGGCCGGCGGTTTGGGGTGGAGGTGGGGATGTTGGGCCGTGAGGTTCAAGGGGGAAAGTGGGTGGGTGAGGTGGAGGAAACCGGTGAGTAATGGTTCGGGAAAAAGAGATAGGAGAAAAAACAAAGAGGATTAAGAAAGAGCCACGAACTTGACTTATCTAAGTTGGTGGGTATTGCGCCATCTCCTTCCTCTTCAAGGAAGCTCTCTCCACTAGAACTCACAAGTTCTCACAATGCTCCAAGCAAGAAAACAAAATTCTCAAAAATCATTCATTAACCATAATAGAATAAAATGGGGCTTTAAATAGCCTCCTACAACATGACTCAAAATAAAAGACACAAACGCCCTTTGGGCTTACATACGACAACTCCCATAAGAGGGGTACTACGGGAAAGAAAACACATAAGCAACTAAATAAAAAATACAACGACTCTAAATGCCACATAAGCAAATAACAAGCTACATGAAAATAAAATACATCAACGACTCAAAAATATAAAGACTCGATCTTGGTCGTAGATCGTCGGCCGCGTCTCTGATAAACTCTCCATGATGATCTGATGTCCCCATCAGTTTGCTTTCTAGGAATGTGCAATATCTTGAAGTTACTACATGTTAAGCGTAGAACTTGCATAATCTATATCTTTGCAGGCTTCAAGTGTTACATCTTAGCCATTTTTTAATGAAGTTTTTTTACCTGGGTTCCTTTCAAATATTGTAAAATTAAATAAACTGCCTTTAGGCATGATTTTTTAGTACAACAATAATAACATCAAATTTTTATTCTACTATGTGGCTATTTCATGTTTAAATATATGATAAATAGATAAGTTTTCTTACAATTCTTTGAAAGAGATTTTGTCCCTCTATTGTGCGCCCTTTGGAGCATGATCAAGTTTATGATTAAACTGCATATGGATCATGACATATTTGCATCCCGACTTGTTTTAATCAAACAATGTATAATAAAATTTTGCTATAATCTAAAAATTCCATGTCAAAAGTATGCAGATTATTTAGTTCTTCGACATCTAATTCTTCGAGCATCATTTTCTTTAAATTTCATTCCTTCCTTGTCACTACTTGTCTTGATGATGTTGTTGACTTAAACTAGTATTACAGAGTCCACCCTTGAAGTTATGTGTTTCATAAATAATGTATGGTCTCCTTAACATTGTTTATATGCTATGTTGAGCATTATCTTGGCGAATCTTTCATACCATGCTCTTGGAGAATGATTCAATCCATATATTGTCTTTTTAAGTTTACATACATATTGTTCTATATTTGAGCCAAATCCCGATGAGACCTCTATATATACTTCTTCCTCTAGATCACTTTGTTGGAAGACATTCTTCATATTGAATTGTTGTATCTTTTAGACTCTGTTAATTGCTAATAATAAAAGAACTTGAACAATGATAATTTTAGGAATTGGAGTAAATGTTTCAAGAAAATGAACATCCTATTTTAGAGTAGTTTTGATCATTAGTCAAGCTTTATACTTTTTTGCGAGCCATCAGAATAAATTTTATAATAAAGGCATATGTACATCATAACGTTTTCTTTTCTTTTGGTAGTGCCACCAAAAACTATATTTTGTTATTTTGAAGGGTTTTCATTTTGTCATAACATTATTCCAGTTCACATTAGTATGACTTCAGAGATGGCTTTAGCCATAGAAATCATATGAAGGCTTGTAAAGGAGTGGTGACTATGAGAAAGATTTTTTGTATGATAAGAGCAAATGTAATGTATGTTTATTGGAAGTTTTTGTACTTCTGTTTACCTCCGCAAATTCAGTGAAAATGATTGATTTAGTTGATTGGACTTACATAGATTGAGCTGCTCCTTGAGTAAACCTATAATGGTTGAGTCGAGGGTGGCTTTGATATAAACATGGTCTCCGTTGGAGTGGCTGGTTTGTCATTCAAATGATTAGATAAATTTTCTATTGTAACAATTTCAATCTAATTATTTCCTCTTTTTTACCTCTAGTTTCTTGGTGTCAAACTAATCCACATCTTGTTAGTTTTCCATGTGAACTCTGAAACTTACCATGAGTTTGTAGGAAAATTTTGGGTCATATATAGAGATTAAAATTTTCTTTATTATGCCTTTTTAAGCCATTTTCTTTGAT